CATTTATTTCTACTAGTAATATAAATGGAATATAAATAATTTAAAATGTGATAATTTAGATACTAAATATGTAATTTATTCTGATTTTTTAGAGTAAGATTGATAAGAACAAAATGATGTGTTTGGAAATGCAGTTCCATCCAGTATTTAACGAGCGGAGGGGGATCGAAAGCATGGAGGGGTGACCTTAAACCTGAGGAGGATAAGAATCATACCGTGTTAGGTATGGCTCATAAATATACCAGTAAAGAGGACAGGAGATGGAGCGGAGTGAGCGAAGCGAACATCAACTGTCCTTACAAAGAAAGTCTCGTTGTGGGGTTACGAATTATGTGGGTTGGGGGTGCGGGGGCGCAGCCCCCGTGGTACGGTACAGGGTTAATTTTGTAATTATGTACCAGGGTTTTCTATTATAAATAGAGATGTAACCTAGACCTAAAATATCATTGAATAAAAATTTCTAGCGCCGCCTAGACACCGAGGACGTAAGCACATTGCCGAACCTCGTAAAATTCTCGTGTTCTTTTGTTTTCTTTACCCGTTTTCGTCAACATACCGCCAAGTTATTGTACGATGGGCAAGGTTTCATGTCGGTGGAGTTGAATGAGAAAGACGCCACGATTGTGTTTTATGATGTTGATGGCAAGGTTTTGCACGATTGGAAGGTCTCTAAACAGCTGTATTCTGCAGTATAGAAAAGCTTTCATTAATCATAGGCATGTAAACGAAACGAACGTACACGAACGGAGGTACGTTCATATTCATGTTCGTTCATTAAGGAATATAGTTTGTTCATGTTCGTTCATTTAAATGATAAACGAACATAAACGAACGTAAGCGAACACAAACGAACGAACATAAACGAACATAATAAATGAACATAAACTAACACAATAAACGAACATAAACGAACAACACAAACACACAAAAAACAAACTTATTCAAATACAACAAATAAATGTAAAAAAAAAAGTAAACAACAAGAATAACAACTTAAAATTCATTAATATAACCTGCAACTTTAGAGTTAATTTTTTCGAATACGACAAAAATAAATATAAATTATAAATAAGCTATATGAACATATAAAGTCTTAAAGTTAATTTGTTCAACAAAACAATCTTCTTGAAATCCAAACAACTTCAATAATCTTCGTAACATATTCAACTTGTCTTCTGTTCGAACATAAATGAATATAATTGAACATAAACGAACGACCATATAATCGAACGTTCACGAACGTAAATGAACTAACGATCCCTTTGTTTGTGTTCGTTCATTTAATTAAACAAACATAAAATCTTGTTCATGTTCGTTCATTTAATAAATAAACGAACATAAACGAACTTCATGTCGTACGGTTCATGAACGGTTCGCTGAACGTTCAGTTCATTTACAGGCCTAATTAATTAGTCAAAAAAAATCTAAACAATTTTATTCTACTTGGAGATTTAATTAGGTTTGTCAATTTTATCTCCCAGTATTATTGTATACTTAATTTATATACAAATAAGTGTTTATGTGTAATTAAATTATTTGTCAACATGGAATTTTTTTTGACAACGAATAGGATTTTTTGTGCCATTTGTTAACAAGTTTTTATGTGAATTTCAGTATGTATTTAAGGTTGATATGGGGATTTTTTTTGAATTAATTACTGATATCCAATCTATTGACCGATTAATCCAGATCGAGTACTGCAGAGGCGAGGGCGACCCTCCCAACCCTATTAGCTCTATTCGTAAACGTTAGGATTCGAACCCCTAACCTTACTTAAGAAACCTAACAAAGACTGGGAAAGGCAAGAAGAAGGCGCTTCCGGCTAACAAAGACAGATTCATCAGTAAGATGTTCCTTAGGGGAGATTCTGTCATAATTGTTCTCAGAAATCCCAAGTAAGCGTATCACATTTGGTAGTGTCAGCTATGAAATTTCCGGGGAGTTCGGACTTCTTTCCAAGTTTTAGAAATTTTCTTATCCGCATCTGTTCTTGTATGGGTTACTGAAGCTGCTGTACGGAATATTTTGTATGGGTAGTAAATGACAAAATGCGAGTAAACTTGTTAGACACAGTTGGGAATTGTTATGAGATAATTGGTGAATCAATAGCAGATTAATGAAATATTTTTGTCAGAGGCTCCTAGCGGCAAACATATTTAATCTTATAGCCCCAGTTTTAGTTTGATTTTTAATGGTGTATGGAAGTGGTATTGTTAATATAGATGCGTTTGGATCAGTATGATTTGGTTTAAAAGATTTTTCATGTATTTAGAATTAGTTTTTGAAAGATCGCTTACAACCAGCTACATCTCTCTCTTTTAAAGGTTAATGAATATGCGTTTATCAGCTATGATCGACACGGGATGTAGGGGTGAGCAAAACTCGACTCGAATTGACTTTGACTTATAATTTCATAAACTTGACTCGAAAAATGTTTTCAAGTTCAAATCGAGTTGTAAAATGTAACTCGAATAACTCAATTTTAGTAATTAGTGAATTTGTTTTTCAAGTGAATTGAGTCTTTAGACTTTATATGATATATGTATATCACAAAATGAAGAAAAAAATATACGAAGAAACATATTTGTATTGTACATATGGTTATAGAAATTCACTTAAATTGTAACAAAATAATATTACAATACTATAAATATTCACAAGTAAATTTAAATGGAAACTCGAAAAATCAACTTGACTCTATTCGAAAAAATTTTAAGTCAACTTCGAGTTGCAAAATAGGATTCGTCAACTCGAATAACTCAAAATTTGCTGACTCGACTAAATTCGATCGAACGCTTACACCTAATACAATGCTCGCATGTAAGGCTAGGTGAGTGAAAATGGTAAATTCCGAGGAAAATAAAGAGAGCATGATCCTTAAACAATGGTCAATCTGATTGGAGGTTATGCAGTTCCAAATACTGCTGCTTCCTTTTGATTCCGATCCAGTGCCAAAGCTCTTGTTCATCTCAAGTTTACTGGACCAAAAATTGAATTAGAAAAAAATATATGAGATTCATGGAAATTCAAACTATGAGCCGAATATTGAATTAAATTTTTGAGATTCATGGAAATTCAAAGTATGAGCCCAGCTTTGATCGAAGTTTGAGATTCATCAAAAATCACTTTGATCAATTTTTTATACAGTGAACTTCGAATCATAACTTTTCTCACCAGATGAAGGTTTTATCGACATAATCCAATCAATACACCTGTTATGATACACGGTTGGAACAAAATAAAAATATTTTTTATTCCACAGTTAAATCTTTGATCCAATTCTCTAATGATCGAATGATCCATCGACTATAGGGTGTGTTGTTTTGTTGAGTCCTACATCTATTAAAAGTTATAAAATGATCATCCGACTATAGAACGTTGTTTTGCTAAATCACTTAACTATTAAAAGTTATAAAATGATTACCCAACTATTCATATGTTCTAAAATCTTCCTTTTTTTGTTAAAATTTAGCGGCCTTATGAGTTGAAAGTTAATATACTGACTGAAATATGATAAATATGATCCCATAATAGTTTGAGTTGTATTTTATGGTTCTATTATGCGCTTACATTATGTTATCGAGTCAGTGTTTGAAAGATTATGTCGTTGAAAGCAATGATGGTGCCAATATGTATCATTAAATTATAATTTCATCATATTTCAGCCAATAAGTTAACTATCAGCTCAAGTGATCGTTAGTTTTTTTAATAAAAAAGAATAAGTTTGAAAAATATTAATAGTCGGTGACCATTTTATAACTTTAAATAGTCAGAGATTCGACAAAGCAATTCCCTAAAGTCAAATGATCATTTTGTAACTTTCAATAGTCTAGAGACTCAACAAAACATACCTTATAGTCAATGGACCATTTGTATAGTTTACCCTTATTTTTAAAACTTTAAATAGGATAAAGTAAAATAATTTTATTATCAAAATTAAAATAACATAACCAAATCTTTTTCTAATTGAACTAAATAAATTGAACATGTAATTTTTATTTTTTTAAAGATATCCTCCAGAATGAGCCAATTAATAATCTCTGCACGCTGCAGGATGAACATCAACAGTAATTTTTATATATTTTTTAAATTTATTAATGAATAAAAAATATCATTATAAAATTAAAATTTTATATGTAATTAAATAATTAAATTGATTTATTTCATACTTAAATATTTAATTAAATAATCACATTCAATTTGTTCAGTTAATTTTGTGTACCAAACTTTTTTTTAATAGATGTAGCTAATTTTATTCAAAAATATGAAATATCTCAAATTACAATAAAGACTTACAATCACAATCGTAAATTAAGCACATAATTACGAAAATTTTCTATAATCATTGAAATAAAACTAGTATTTAAGATCATATAAAGACCATATAAGGAAATATTAAATCTAACCAAGAAACTCGAACAAAAATAAATATAAACATATCTGATCGCATCGACAAATGAACTACAGAAAAAAATCAAGCTATTAAAAGATTATTTACAAATCACAAATCAAACTCGAACGATGCGAAAAGCAATTCACGAACGTAAATCGAGAATCCAAATCCAATCCAATAGTCAAAAACAGAAAAGATCAACAAGATATCATATAATCGTCATCTTAATTAGTTGTAACGATGTCAAATCAACCTTAGAAAAAATAAATGAAAAAAAGGTCAAAGAACCGAAAAATATATAAAACATAAAAAATACCATAAAGACAAATTAAAACGTGCAATATAGACAAATTTATTAAAAAAATAAATAAAATATGATATAGAAAGAAAAAGATAATAAAAAATACTGACTGTCAATAATTAATATTAAAATTAATATTACCGCTAATCAACAAATACTATAAAGAAAAGATATGAGCAACACAAAAATGAGAGAGAACTTTGTGTACGGCTGTACGCAACTTACCCCAACAAATAAAAAGAATATTATAATTCAACTCTAGCAGAAAATGATTTCATCTATTATTAATTTAATAGTATTTGCTTTAAAACTAATATACGCATTCTCATTTTCTCGTTTATAAATAATAATGTTTGAAGAATAGAACAGCTCTATAAAATTTTCCATGGAGTTCCATTCCATGTACATGCAGTTCAGTACTATGGGAAGTCAAAATGCCCCATTTGTTGTGTAAGAAGTTCCAAGTCCTGAGATTTCTCAGGCATCGATCCATTCACCAGTGGTTCAATCTCCAGGTTTTGTGTTTTCTCCATATTTTCGAGAAACAGTTCGAAACTCCGAGATTTTTCCAGACGATTTCCGGAGCATGTCACCTCCATCTCCATACCAGAATTCATGAACTCTTCCTTGTCTTGATTTCCACCATCATTATTCTCTACGAAAACATTATCCGAAAGAAGCTTTTCCCATGCACCATCATCATGTAAATCCAGTGGAATGAAAGGTGTATGACTTTCATCCATAAGCACCTTGGCGAAATCGATGTTCATCCAAAAATCTTTCATCCCATCCGAAAAAGTATCGGATTCATTATGATTTTCTGGACCTACCATCGGTGTGTGCACCGGTTTCGATGTTTCATCCATTGGTGGCTGATATCTAACTATCATATGATCAGAAGCCACTGGTGGCTCACCATCCTCTGCAACTTGTTCTAGCATATTGCTTGCTTCGGCCACACGCCGGCTATTTTCTTTCGGTTGAATCAGTTGGATCAAAAACCCTGGACTCTGCATCGCCATTATTAAGAACGACAACAACTGCTGCTGACTCTTCTCCATTCCTTGAAGACGATCGTTCAATCGAAGCATCTTAGTGTCTGCAGTCTCCTGGTACTGCCTAAGTTTAACCAACTCCTGCATGAGAGCAATTTTATCAGTCTTCAAATTCTCAACTTCTTTCCATATCTCAGTATGTTCATTGTTTTCACACGATCCAACAGTGTTCTCTTGCTGCTGAGGAGGCTCCGGCTGCAACTGTTTACGCTGCTCGGATCCCTGCAAGTATTTCCGTCTAGCAATGTTCTTCAGTAGGTCCTTTTGACCTCTAATAAATCCGTCGTTTGCGAATTCCCAACGATCCGTATCAATTTTTCTAAAACCCTGGAGGAAAAAACTTGAAGGGTTACTAGTGTATCATGCAATGGTTAACAATTATAAACCTGAAGAGGACTCTTATATGAATCAATGGAATAGAACATTGAACAATGACGAGAGAAACCGAAAATAGAACGAAATCAGTAACATAAAGAATGACAAAGACAATGTCAATCTAAATACTAGCTGAAAATCAAGCCAAAAGTAGTTAACAATCGGCTTCTGCAATCTTCTCCGACCCCTGACATATACTCGAATCCGACACTTACAGGCAAATCTCAGTAACATAGCTTATCTCGATTGATTCTAAATTAAGCATACAAGAAGAGGACCAAGAGCAAATAATTCACCCTTTTGCATACTTCCTTATAGACTACCCTAATTTTCTTGATAACATCAATAACATTTACACTGCAATTCCAATTGAAATAAACAATTATCCAGTATCACACACGAGCTGCGAGCAAATACCTTGAATCGTAAACACGTGAATACGATGGGCCAAAAATAACAAGGAATTACTTCAACCCAGCAACCCTTTACATACAAAAACTCAAAACCCTAGTTCAAAGCTCCATAATTCAAACTCAAATGCCACAAAAAGAAAACCCAAATTTGACATGTTTTACGACAAAAAGGGAACCCAATGAAAAAGAGGAAGAGGAAGGGGAGACTCACATAAATATTGAGTTGCCGGATGAAAGAAGAGAAATTACTGTGCTTGAAATACTTGGGAAGCAGACGAACTGAAAACTCAGTCATATCCCAAATGATAAAACTGCCACTGTTTTGGCTCCACGAAATGATTGAATCCGTAGTCTCATCATCTACCATTTCATAACATTTTTTAAGAAAAGGAGCTATTGATTGAGACCCATTTTCACTGGGTTTCACCATACCTGAATTTTGATAAGAATAAGCAAAGATTTCTGATCTTTTAACAGATAATGAAACTGGTAAGTGGGATTTTTCTTCCTTGAAGGAGGAAAAGAAATTTGTAGGGCTTCAGATGAAAGTCTTCGCTTCAAAGCCTTCAACCGCGTGAAGTTTGGAATTTACGGAGACAATATATATATATACGAGGCAACGGACCTTTCACCTTTGTGTTGTTTCCCCCCATTGATGTCTTTACAGTTGGTGCAATCCAATTTGATCAACTCCTAAATGCCGTCTTCGTGCGTCTAGGGGACGACCACCTGTTATTCGATTATAAATGTTTAATTTAGGGTATGTTTGTTTCCGTAATTAGAATTACGGAATTGGTTTTCCCCGAATTTCAGTGTTTGTTTCACGTAATTCGTTTTTCGGAAAATGTTTTCCCGTGTTTGTTTCACGTAATTCGTTTTCCGGAAAACGTTTTCCCGTGTTTGTTTCACGTAATTCGTTTTCCTAGTAACATGATTTCCTTTGTGTTTTCTGTAAAATGACTTACGGATTCATTTTCCGTAAGTCATTTTCCGAACTTTTCACTTCAAAGCAAAAATACTCAAAATAATTTTATTTTATGAATTTAATATTAAGGGTCTGTTTGTTTCCCGTAATTCGAATTACGGAATTGGTTTTCCCCGAATTCCAGTGTTTGTTTCACGTAATTCGTTTTCCGGAAAATGTTTTCCCGTGTTTGTTTCACGTAATTCGTTTTCCGGAAAACGTTTTCCCGTGTTTGTTTCACGTAATTCGTTTTCCGGAATATAATTCATTTTCCTAGTAACAGGATTTCCTTTGTGTTTTCTGTAAAATGACTTACGAATTCATTTTCCGTAAGTCATTTTCCGAACTTTTTACTTCAAAGCAAAAATACTCAAAATAATTTTATTTTATGAATTTAATATTAATAAAATATTTTAATATCATTTTCATCAAAATATTAATTATTAAAATATTTAAAATATATTTATTAATATTTATAATAATATAATATTATATTTTTAATATTATATAAAATAATCAATTATATTATAATAATATAAGATATTATTTATTAATAATATATAATAATTTTTTTTATATATTTAATAATGAATAATATTTATATATTTCAATAATATTTTAGTAAAGATATTAAAATATACTAATTAATATTTTTAAAATAATATAGTACTATTACTTTAATAATTAATATAATTTATAAAATTTTATTTCACTAAAATATACCGAAAAAATGTTTAAATAACATCTTCCAAACATCATAAAACGTTTTTCAGATGTTTTCCAGAAATGTAATTCATTTTCCAGAAATGTAATTCATTTTACAGAAATGTAATTCATTTTCCAGAATTCAAATTCCAGTAATTCATTTTCCAGTAATTCAAATTCCAGTAAGGGTCTGTTTGTTTCCCGTAATTCGAATTACGGAATTGGTTTTCCCCGAATTCCAGTGTTTGTTTCACGTAATTCGTTTTCCGGAAAATGTTTTCCCGTGTTTGTTTCACGTAATTCGTTTTCCGGAAAACGTTTTCCCGTGTTTGTTTCACGTAATTCGTTTTCCGGAATGTAATTCATTTTCCTAGTAACAGGATTTCCTTTGTGTTTTCTGTAAAATGACTTACGGATTCATTTTCCGTAAGTCATTTTCCGAACTTTTCACTTCAAAGCAAAAATACTCAAAATAATTTTATTTTATGAATTTAATATTAATAAAATATTTTAATATCATTTTCATCAAAATATTAATTATTAAAATATTTAAATATATTTATTAATATTTATAATAATATATATATATTTTTAATATTATATAAAATAATCAATTATATTATAATAATATAAGATATTATTTATTAAAAATATATAATAAATTTTTTTTATATATTTAATAATGAATAATATTATTTATATATTTCAATAATATTTTAGTAAAGATATTAAAATATACTAATTAATATTTTTAAAATATAATAATACTATTACTTTAATAAATAATTAATATAATTTATAAAATTTATTTCACTAAAATATACCGAAAAAATGTTTAAATAACATCTTCCAAACATCATAAAACGTTTTTCAGATGTTTTCCAGAAATGTAATTCATTTTCCAGAAATGTAATTCATTTTACAGAAATGTAATTCATTTTCCAGAATTCAAATTCCAGTAATTCATTTTCCAGTAATTCAAATTCCAGTAAGGGTCTGTTTGTTTCCCGTAATTCGAATTACGGAATTGGTTTTTCCCCGAATTCCAGTGTATGTTTCACGTAATTCGTTTTCCGGAAAATGTTTTCCCGTGTTTGTTTCACGTAATTCGTTTTCCCGGAAAACGTTTTCCCGTGTTTGTTTCACGTAATTCGTTTTCCCGGAATGTAATTCATTTTCCTAGTAACAGGATTTCCTTTGTGTTTTCTGTAAAATGACTTACGGATTCATTTTCCGTAAGTCATTTTCCGAACTTTCACTTCAAAGCAAAATACTCAAATAATTTTATTTTATGAATTTAATATTAATAAAATATTTTAATATCATTTTCATCAAAATATTAATTATTAAAATATTTAAAATATATTTATTAATATTTATAATATAATATTATATTTTAATATTATAGAAAATAATCAATTATATTATAATAATATAAGATATTATTTATTAATAATATATAAATTTTTTTATATATTTAATAATGAATAATATTATTTATATTTCAATAATATTTTAGTAAGATATTAAAATTACTAATTAATATTTTTAAAATATATAAGTACTATTACTTTAATAATTAATAATTTATAAATTTTATTTCACTAAAATACCGAAAAAATGTTTAAATAACATCTTCCAAACATCATAAAACGTTTTTTAAGATGTTTTCCAGAAATGTAATTCATTTTCCAGAAATGTAATTCATTTTACAGAAATGTAATTCATTTTCCAGAATTCAAATTCCAGTAATTCATTTTCCAGTAATTCAAATTTCAGTAATTCAAATTCCAGTAATTCATTTTCTGGAAAACCAATTACAGCTAAACAAACAGACCCTAATAAAATATTTTAATATCATTTTCATCAAAATATTAATTATTAAAATATTTAAAATATATTTATTAATATTTATAATAATATAATATTATATTTTTAATATTATATAAAATAATCAATTATATTATAATAATATAAGATATTATTTATTAATAATATATACTAATTTTTTTTATATTTAATAATGAATAATATTATTTATATATTTCAATAATATTTTAGTAAAGATATTAAAATATACTAATTAATATTTTTAAAATATGATATAGTACTATTACTTTAATAATAATTAATATAATTTATAAAATTTTATTTCACTAAAATATACCGAAAAAATGTTTAAATAACATCTTCCAAACATCATAAAACGTTTTTCAGATGTTTTCCAGAATGTAATTCATTTTCCAGAAATGTATTCATTTTACATAAATGTAATTCATTTTCCAGAATTCAAATTCCAGTAATCATTTTCCAGTAATTCAAATTCCAGTAAGGGTCTGTTTGTTTCCCCGTAATTTGATTTACGGAATTGTTTTCCCCGAATTCCAGGGTTTGTTTCACGTAATTCGTTTTTCCGGAAATGTTTTCCCGTGTTTGTTTCACGTAATTCGTTTTCCGGAAAACGTTTTCCCGTGTTTGTTTCACGTAATTCGTTTTCCGGAATGTAATTCATTTTCGTAGTAACAGGATTTCCTTTGTGTTTTCTGTAAAATGACTTACGGATTCATTTTCCGTAAGTCATTTTCCGAACTTTTCACTTCAAAGCAAAAATACTCAAAATAATTTTATTTTATGAATTTAATATTAATAAAATATTTTAATATCATTTTCATCAAATATTAATTATTAAAATATTTAAAATATATTTATATTTTATAATAATATAATATTATTTTAATATTATATAAAATAATCATTATATTATAATAATATAAGATATATATTATAATATATAATAATTTTTTTATATATTTAATAATGAATAATATTATTTATATTTCAATAATATTTTAGTAAAGATATTAAAATATACTAATTAATATTTTTAAAATATAATATAGTACTATTACTTTAATAAATAATTAATATAATTATAAAATTTTATTTCCTAAAATATACCGAAAAAAATGTTTAAATACATCTTCCAACATCATAAAACGTTTTTCAGATGTTTTCCAGAAATGTAATTCATTTTCCAGAAATGTAATTCATTTTACAGAGATGTAATTCATTTTCCAGAATTCAAATTCCAGTAATTCATTTTCCAGTAATTCAAATTCCAGTAATTCAAATTCCAGTAATTCATTTTCTGGAAAACCAATTACAGCTAAACAAACAGACCCTAATTCAAATTCCAGTAATTCATTTTCTGGAAAACCAATTACAGCTAAACAAACAGACCCTTAGTTTTTTTATTAAGATAGATGATTATAAATTAATATTTATTTTAAATATTTTTAATTATTTTACAATTAACGTTTAAACATGTTGCTGTAATTATTGGTGTTTATATTTATAATTTTTATAAATAACAATGACTCATTTAATTACCTAAATAAATTAATTCGTGTAATATTTAATTTAATTTTTAAATTTAGAGTTAAATAATTGATGTTATTGGAGTTAATTTCTATAAATAATTTAAGATACTAGTTTAATTTCGGTTTGGAATGTTTGATTTTTCACCACACTGTATCAAATATATAATTTAAATTATTTGAAATTTTTTCATTTAAATAGTTAATTATAAACCTACTCTTTTTATAACTTTCTCACCTCACCTTTGAATAGGTATGTAAACAAACTACGTTCAATGAATTATTTATAAATCGTTCAACAGAATGTTCATTTATTTATTAAACAGATTAATATGGATAAGATCTTATATTTATTTAATTAACTGAACGAACATAAACAAATAATTTATTTATAAATATTTGTTAAACCGTTCGTTTATATTTAGCCTAATTTTCATACTCATTTGAAAAATTAAAACTAAATAAATTTTAGTCTTAAACCCATTAATATTTTAAAACACAATTAAGTT